TGCGTCCTAACCGTTGAGCCACCGGGGAGGGCCGGTAAGTTAGTTTTTAAGCAGATCTGTTTACCCATGAGGGCAGGGCTGGCACAGGGGATCTGGATTTAAATTCTCCCAGAGAGAAATCAGAGCAGGGTCAAGGAGAAGCACAGCACCAGCCTCTCCTGGGGTGGAAGGTGCTCCCTCCACAGGCTTCTCACAGGGCTTCCAGATCAAAGGAGGGCACTGCATGGACTAGTGCTCCACAATCAACTCCCCATCTCTCAACAAATCTCTCACGGAAAATGCAAGAACTAACTGAAAAGAAATGGTTCTATAACAAGCAGGAGAGCAAATAATACTCAGGAACCAGACAATGATTCCTGGGGCCAAGGGTCTAAACAATTCTGGGTGGTGCTTATAGTTATGGCTAACAGATATATGGAATTTTAACAGGGAAACTTCTATTTTTAAAGTGGAGTTGAAATTCAGGATAAAACACCTTGGGAGTAAATGCAAGTAGTTTTTCCCAAAAGGATTCCAGAGTCAAATCTAAATTCTTGGTTCAATCGATGCTAATTTCTACTTTCTTCTAATTAAAGAGTAATTGCTATCATGCGTTATCTCTGCAAGAAATGGGTGATGAGAATCAAAGCTGCAGTTGTCTACCATGGTAGCCACTAGACCCTTGTGGCTACTTATATTAATGAAAATTAAATAAAATTTAGGTTTTAGTTCCTCAATTGCACTACACATATTTCCAGGGCTCAGTCGCCACAAGGGGCCCATGGCTACCACATGGGGCATATTGTAGAACACTTCAAGCATGACGGAAAGTTTCATTGAACGGCATTGACCTAGAAAAGGGTGACTTAGAGATGCTAAAAAGAATATTGTTCTTTTCTCACTCTGTAAAGAGTTCCACTCTCTATCTAGAGAGCCAGCTTGACAGAAAATACTATGGGGTTGAATTTGAAGGCTAGTGACAAAGATTCTATTATTATCTCAAAATATCACTCCAATTAGTTTGTCTAAAATCTTTTGGCATGAAGATTTTTTTCATTGCCATAAATTCTCTTTAAAATCCAAACATGCAGGGAAT